ATGTATGTGCAAGTGTGTGCATCTGCCTGTGTGTGTGTTGTGTGTGTGTCTGTCTGTCTGTGTGTCTGTTTGTGTGATATACTGAGACTACAAGGTCTTAAACATTCCTTCTAGTTCTCAAATTCTATAAAATACAAATCTAATAACTGCACTTTGTTTTCTTCAGTTGTATTAAAGGATAAGAAATGAAATGGATATTTTCAAATGAGTAAACTCCCTGGATGCATTTCAGGCAAGCATACAAGGACTTTTAATAATATGAAGGCCACTTTGAGACTCACTTTATTGAACCCCTGGAGTTCAATGCTCACCTCTACACTCAACTGTTTTAGTAACCTATAATTTAGTTTGGATGATTGAGGGAAATAATGGGATATAAGGATAGCGTTCCAGACTTTATCTCAGAACAAATGGGGAAAGGCCTAAGGGAGGAATGGTGAGGAGACTCCATTGGCAGCTGCTGTGACTTAGAAAGGGTTGAGATGCAGGCTCCGTAGAGAATCCATAGGACTAAATCTAGGTATGAGCTCCTTCTATACCGCTGTCAATTTTATATTTAAAGCATATTTTGTGTATGAGAAGAACAATGTTCAGAAAAAGTAATTACTTCATCATTTTGTTTCTGTTGATAGATATGTAGAAACACAGAACCACACATATTGCTTAACAATACAAATAATTTGCACCTGAATTTCATTTGCTTATTCCCTTGGAGCCTTACAGAACAAAATGTTTGTAACAAATACAGCTGTGCTGGCGGTACTATTGCATTGGAGAAAACAAAAAGTTGGTCTCTGGTCCAATGAGCTTATAGTCCAAAAGGGGCAGGAAGGAGGTTTGAGAAACCTGGCTTTCAGTTAGGGTTTGCTATTTTTCAAATGCACCCTCTACTTTCTTGGTGGTGTAGCTTTGTTCTTGCTGATGTTTTAAAGTTGGAATGTCTGTTCTCCACACCAGATTTTCCAAAGCTTATCCAACTTCTAAGACTCCATTTAATTGTCACTTCTATAAAAAGTTTTCTTCAGTTCCCACCACTCACTAGCCCCCACCAAATGCCCTTCCCTATTTTGTTCCCTTTCAGTCCTTTGTTAGCTCTTGCTTACACTATCCAAGGCCACTTATATTAGAGTTACTTTGGCCTGTGACCCTGCTTTTTCATCAAACTGTCCTTCTGACCACTTTCAGGA